TTTTCTCCTTGTAGCTCTGGTGCTCTGGATTCAATTTGGGGCCTGGGCTGTTTGTGTCTGTATCTGCCTTGCGATGGACTGACGTCCCATCCAGGGAGTATCCTGCCTTGCTCCTGTTGCATGCTGGGATAGGCTCTGACTCCCCTGCGACCCTGAATTGGATGAAGTGGTTTGAAAATGGATGGATGGATATATCTTTTGAGACCTCTCACATTATGACTCTTTTCACTAGTTTTCAACAATGTTTACTATTTATTTTGAAATAAGAATCCCTTTCCCTTTTTTCCCTTTTGTGTTTTGATGAGATTCAAAAGATAGTGACAATATTTCAAACTGCATAGAAGAGGGATGAAGAGAGCACACCAGAAGATGAAAGAGGTAACTGTGTGATGTACTGTATTTATTTAGGAGAACATAACAAGCATAACATGTTTTCTAAGTTATCAGATATCACTATTAGATCATCTCTTTTTTATGTCTTTTCTTCTTTTAACATTAAACCTCAAAATAACTTAAATGTCAAACGTAACCTGAAAAAAAAGAGCTGTTTAAGGAAAAGTTCACAAGGGAAGAAGGCTCCACACATAAAATGTCATTTCTCCTTTTAATTTTTCAACGCTTAATTTCACTTGTTGTTTTGCAGCCAACAAACACTGACACAGCTCCCTTCTCAAACATTGCTTATTAAAGGTATGCTACTAACGTTGTGTGCTTGTTCAGATTATTCCTTGCTCGGAAGGAAGTCAAAAAGAGAGCAAAGAAAAACAGAACTGACTTAACACTGATTCCATTCATGTCTACACAGGTTGTGAACAAAATGTAAGTGTAAGTAAGCTACTGTATTTATAGGTCATTTTTCTGAGATGGAGCACTATTTCTTTTAAGACACTGGTCAAATGAAGCTGAATTTTGAGAATTTCTTTAAAGGGTTTAGTAAAATTAGGTTCTCTGTCGTGAAAGGCAATTTTTGTTACAGAGAGTAACAGGAACATGTGGTTTATTTTGATTAATAGAGTTTGGCATTACATTGAGTGGGACTTTAGGTCTTAATCTCACTGCCTGAGAACCTGTGGAGACTTTCATTTGGCTAATGCCTAATGACACCACGCTGACTACAAGCTTATTTATTCAATTATAGCAAAGCTCAGAAAATGAGGTAAAGCAAATGCCTGGACTGAAAAAAAACACTCGCTGCAATTAAATGAATTCTTTCAAATCTGTTCTTTTATTTATTGTTACAGAGGAGGCAGATTTTTGCATCAGGTGTCTTGTTGGCTTTTAGAATTTCTTTTGTAATGTTTACCAATTTCATTATTTGAAACTGCAATATTAAAAAAGGACATTTGGCATTTAATTGCTATTTTGCACACATTATAAATACTTTATAAATATATTATTTACTCTGAAATATGCATTAATGAAGCATTTATATATGAAAATAATGTGACTATTATTAACACACTTATTAATACACATTTCAATGAATAATTTTTAGAGATGTGTCCTGCTTAGTAGACATTCTGTGTTTTTTAGATTGGGTTAGAATTTATCATTTAAATATACAATCTCCTAAATTTCAGTGCTAGTATTCTTTAAAGTTACATGTGCAGGAAAATGTTCATGTAAAATAGAAAAGTAATGTTTCCAAGGAATTCTCTCCTGAAAGAATCCACCTGAAGATCTGCCACAATTTGTTTGCCATTCTGTGTAAATTCAAAT